ATATGGGTACATCTCAGGTGGATACAAGTACACCATGCTTGACGACCCGCCTGCTCACGAGGCATTGATGGAGTTCGCAGACAAGCTGGAGGAGCACGGCATCCCCTGCTCCGCACACCAAATGAGTTCCGGATACTCGATCGCTGAAACAGAGCCTAAGGTCCGCAATGTCTTCACCTGGAACAAATATCGGTTCCCCAATCCCGAAGAGTGGATTGCCAAATACCATGGTCGGGGTATCCGCCTTCTCTCCAATATCAAGCCATTCCTGCTCGCCTCACACCCCGACTTCCAGAAGCTGATTGATTCGAACGGGTTCTTCAAGGACCCTGCGAGCAACAAGCCGGGCTACATGCGACTGTGGAGTGCCGGAGGCGCAACAGGAGGTGACGGATGTCACATCGACTTTTCCTCCGCTGTTGCGTTCAAGTGGTGGTATGACGGCGTGCAGAGCCTGAAGCGCGCCGGAATCGACGCCATGTGGAATGACAACAACGAGTACACGCTCCCAGACGACGACTGGAAGTTGGCATTGGACGAGCCAACCGTCTCCGAGGCCGTCAAGAAGGGCGTCGAGAACTCCGTCGGACAATGGGGTCGTGCTATGCACACCGAACTCATGGGCAAAGCCTCCCATGACGCTCTGCTCAACATTGAGCCCAACCACAGACCATTCGTCCTGACTCGCAGTGCCACGGCAGGTACAATGCGCTACGCCGCCAGCACCTGGAGCGGAGACAATGTGACCAGCTGGGAGGGCATGAAGGGAGCGAATGCTCTGTCCCTCAGCGCAGGTATCTCTCTTCTGCAGTGCTGCGGTCACGATATCGGAGGATTCGAAGGACCTCAGCCCTCTCCTGAGCTATTGCTCAGATGGATCCAACTGGGTATCCACTCACCTCGGTTCGCCATCAACTGCTTCAAGACATCTCCTGGGAACAGCTCCGTCGGAGACGTCATCGAGCCGTGGATGTACCCCGAGATCACCCCTCTCGTCCGTGATACCATCAAGCGTCGCTACGAGATCCTCCCTTACATCTACTCCCTCGGTCTAGAAAGCCATCTGACGGCGTCCCCGCCCCAGCGCTGGGTAGGATGGGGCTATGAATCCGACCCGGAGGTATGGACCAAGGCCCTGAAATCGGGCGACGAGCAGTTCTGGTTCGGTGACACCATCATGGTCGGCGGTGTCTACGAGCCTGGCGTGAACGTTGCCAAGTTATATCTTCCCCGTAAGGCGAATGACAAGTTCGACTTTGGGTATGTGAACATGAACGAGCCTTATCAATACCTCGCCTCCGGACAATGGGTGGAAGTCCCCTCCGAATGGAGGAAGAGTATTCCCCTTCTGGCCAGAATCGGCGGAGCTATCCCTGTCGGAAAGCCAGTCCATACCAGGGTTCCTGGTGATGACACTCCGGCTTCTGTGGCTGTGAAAGAGATTGATGATTACCGTGGAGTCGAAGTCTTCCCGCCCCGTGGTAGTTCTCATGGCCAGGTGTTCAGCACTACTTGGTTTGAAGATGATGGTATCTCGCTCGAGGCGCGCATCTCGGAGTATACTATCACGTATAGCTCCACGGAGGAGAAGGTTATTGTTGGATTCTCTCGTGATGAGAAGTCTGGATTTGTTCCTGCTTGGAAAGATCTTGATATCGTCCTTCATAATGGTGATGAGAGACGCGTTGTGTCGGATGTTGGAAAGACTGTGGAGTATAAGGGTAAAGATTCTCGGGGACGGGTGGTTTATACCTTGAAGAACTAGATAGGGGATGTTGTGGTTGGTTTAGATAGTCTGTTGAAGCTTTTGGTAATACGTGGTGGAATTGTTTACCCGGATCATGATGATAGATGTCGGTGGCGTTACATAGTATAGAAGAGATTGAATTTTGAATCAATGGTTGCTGTGACACATGAACAACTTGTAATTAAACAATACCTTTTCGTAAGTACCCATAGGACGATGAGGCTGACTGAAACGCAGTCAACCTAGGCGTAAGGCGTGGTCGGCCATGAACTGTGCAAACAGCTAAAGGGAAGACTATCCTAAACCATGAGACTAGACCAGAAGATCAATTCAAATAGCATTGTTGATACATGATATAACACCAGAGAAAAGGAAAATTTACAATGTCCTATACAATACAATCCCAGCCGAAAGTTCAGATGTAGACAGACAGATATCAATAAGAGCAATAGTCAACACTTCGACTCTATTCGTCATCCTTGGAAGCCTCTTCCTTAGGCTTGTCCAGCGGGCTTCCCTCAGAAGGAACTTCCTCAGACACAACATCCTGAGAGGCTTCAGGCGTCTGTCCTTCCGCGGTCTCCAGAGTCGTCTCCTCTACTTGTTGACGGAGTGGTTGCATGAGTTTATACGTCCACTCACCCTTGCGCGCTAGCGCCAATCTTCTCTGCTGACCCGCTTCTCCTGCCCGTCCCAGCACACCAGCAATCAGAGTCACGGAACGCAAACTGTCGTCGTTGGCAGGGATGGGGTATGTGACACGAGTCGGGTCGGCGTCAGTGTCGATGATACCAATAGTCGGGACGTTGTTGAGACCACACTCGTGCAACAGGACAACGTTCTCGACGGGGTTCAAGCAAACAACAAGGTCGGGCTTAAGTGCACGGTAACCTTCCAATTCCTCTTTCCAGAGGTCCTCAATCGTCTCATCCAAGCCGTTCACGATCTTCTTGTCGCAATGGCCCAGGATCTGCTGGCCATTGGTCAAACTACCAGGGATCCAACGCTCGAAAATGTGATATCCCTGAGCCAGTTCCGCGGCTCTGACCACCGCACGCTTCTGACCCTTTCGCGTGCCTGCAAAGAGAACTAATCCACCCCGGAAGGCAACTTCCTCCACAATCTTGGCCGCACGTCGGAGGTAAGCCGCCGTGATGTCAAGAGAGATGATGTGAGTTCCCTCCCTGATACCGAAGATATAGCGCGAGTTCTGGGGGTTCCAGCGGGAAGTCGAGTGTCCAAGGTGTGTCTGGTTGGCGAGGAGCATTTCGAGGGTAACGTCGGTGGCTTTGGGAGGGTTTTTGAGGAGGCTCTCTGGCCGGTAGACGCCGGTCACATCGCTACCGAGACTGTGGAATTTGATCCCTGAAAAGAAGAGGGTGTGTTAGCTTTCCCTTCAGGCAGCGGCAGGCCTCACGGCCATGATGTTGCGGTACTTACTGCGGAGCGTGTTCGGATCCAATCTCTCTTGTGCACCAGATGTACCAGGCTCCGGCACCGCAACAGCCGGTGCAGGCGTCTCTAATTGAGGTGCTTGCTCCGCAACGATTGTCTGTACTGGAGTCTGGCCAGTCGTCTCGGTGGAAGAGAATCGGGACAAGATGCGCGACTGACGGGGAAGAGCCCGAAGCTGGCGGCCTGAATGAAGACGGGGGAATCAGCACCAATATTTCCTATCAATTATTCCAATCCATAGAATAAACTCACTTTGCCGCACAAGTTGCCGAACAATCATACTGTCTTGTGTTGGCCGGAGTTCTGGTCTATCGCAGCTGGTTCAAGGGAATCTTCCGCTCGAACTTTTGATGTCGGGCTTGGCAACAACAGGTGCCTGAGGCGGGTAAATAATACGCTAAGCCGTTTACGGAAGCAGTTCTAGATGTCGGGGAAATCAACTCGATCCCAGCGATTCCGATGCATCCATCTCACACTACTACTTGCTTACTTCGTATTTGCAGCACACCACCTGAACGGTGATTTATTGTTCCAGAGAACCGCCAAACACAAACATGACCACATACCAGCTCCTAACAACGAGAGACAACGTCAAACGAACCAACAGTAGCACTCGCATATCGCCCAGACCGCCAAACCATCCCTCAACAGCAGAGACCAAACACAACAGCCCAATAACAAACCTTGTACTACACTCCTCCGAGTAGGCAGGATGTCACTTGATTCCACCAATCGACCACTACATCCCCTAGACCATCATGCAGAACACAGCACGGTAGTCAACCGCCCAAATGCCAATCTGCAAGTAAGTACAAAGTAGGGTAGGTTGGTAAATACATAACCCAACATATCGATACACACAGTGAAAGCGACGATCATATACATACACAAAACCGAACCTGCTCCGCCCCAAAACGAGGCAAACAATTGCCTATGAAGCGACACGCGTACTCACCAATCCCTGTCCATGTTAACTATTTGTCAGGTCATATGTCAAAGTCAACTTGCAGTGTGTGGGTGATCCATCCGACCCTTTAACCGCTCAGTCTCAGCCACGATCATTGATGGTCTATCTCTCTCTCTCTCTATCTATCTATCTATCTGTTTGAGGTAATCGAGATGTCAAGGTGGGGAATTCGGGTTAGGGGAATAAGTAAGCCGGGACATGTTGGGCCGCAGAAGTTTCGCACTATTCGCTTTGGGAAAGTGTGCTTTTCTCATTTTGAGATGATTACCATCGTATTGTAGACAAGACGAGGAGGAGGTTACATCGATCTATTTCTTTATGCCCTCTAGATTGTGTAACGTGGGGTTAGATAGTTGGAGAAGAAATGTAAAGAGGCATTTTTTCTTTTCCGTTGGAATGTGCGGGATCCTTGTTTTCTTGTCGAATACTAAACCGGCAATACTACTAGTATCCCGCTTGAAGGTATCTTTGTGAGGGGGCCAAAACTTCCTACTGTTAGTAGTAGCATAAATTACAGCAGACATTACTGGTTGATGATGAGCTGGCTTTCGCTGATCACCTTCACAACGATTCAACTTATTTTCCGGCATGAGACAAGACAGAAAAGCAAAGGGTGGGGTCGGGTCGTCGAGACTTTTCCTCCCCGCCACCAACCTGAAACCCCTCATCCTGTTAACATCATGGGGCGAACTCAAATGCGTGAAGATCGGTCAAGTGGTGGGTGGTGGGAGGATGGTCGGATCGCGATTTTCTCTCCAAGGATTGGAGCTACGTGGGAATTTACAGTTCTACAGCTGTCAAAATGACTGCTCAGGAGCAAATGTAAATGAGGCCAAAGACTGTATGATTCTTCGTAACGTAACCACAGAAGAGCTATGTAGACTGGAATACAGCGTTGGTATCAAGATTAAGAATTTCATCCGCGCCGGGTATGTGTAACAAGCAAAGCGATCTCAGTAATAGCAATGAGAAGAAAATGTAGAAAAAGCGATTCAATAATTCTTCATCCAAAACCCGGCCGGCCGAACGAAGCAAAAGTCGAAATTTCAGTCATTCACGGTAGTCGCAAGGGAATTCGTAAGAATAAACAGGAAGAAAGCAATCGGTTTAGGAGAGAAGGAGAACCGTCTATCGCTTGAAGAAGCCACCAAGCTGGTCCATCATGCCACCGCCACCGTGGGACTGGCCACCCTGAGGGGGGTAACCACCATAGCTGCTCTGGTATTCCTGCTGCTGCTCGTCCTTGTGCTTGTGCTTCTTGATGGCATCCTCGGCGATGCTTCCCATGATGGCTCCACCGATGGTTCCGAGGATTCCGTGATCGGCCTTGTGACCGGCAAATCCGCCCGCAAGACCACCGGCAATGGCACCACCGAGGCCACGCTCACCCTCCTGGGCTCCGCCGGGGGCACCCTGGTTGTACCTAAAGATAAACAATGTTAGCTAGAGCTCATGAATATCAAGGTACTATAGTGTATAACATACTCGCCACGCTGGTCCTGGCCGTACTGCTGACCACCCTGGTGCTGCTGGCCGTACTGGCCCTCACCATACTGGGGCTGTCCACCACCGCCGTAGTAGTCGCTAGAGGCACCACCCTGGCCGCCGTGCTGCTGGTGCTGGTGCTGGCTGTACTGGTCATAGCCACCCTGCTGGCCATATCCTTGCTGCTGAGGGTATCCGCCCTGCTGACCGTATCCACCTTGGCCGTAGCCGCCCTGGTTGTAACCACCCTGCTGGTGGCCGTAGTAGCCCTGGTTGTTGTATCCGTCGTAGCCAGACATGGTGATGATGTGGATTGGAGTTGTAGAGGTAGTTGATTGATAGATAGGTAAGGTTGATAGAAGAAGGAAGTGGAGTGGATTTAGTAAGATGATGGAAGGTAAGACAAAACGAGGGGTTCCCAGGCCTTTTATAGTGGGATATTTGGCCACTGGATAAGGTGATCTGGCACTGCAGGGCTGAGCAGGCGCAGTGCTGACTCGCCCAGAAGCTGAGCCCCACCAAGATTCAATGATGCCCCCGCTACGCCAAGAGCCCAGCGCCAGCTGAGAAAACACGGGAACAAGTAATTACGCTGTTCAGTCACAGCCCCCGGTCAGAAATTAACCCGGTTTGAAGTGAGATTACGACTTCTATTGTGGCTGTTCGTTGAGGCTGATGCCGTACGGAATCACTAGATCGCCCGCCACCATGCAGCGCGGGGTGGCTGTGCCATGTGTTCATCTTGGGCGCAGGGCGGGTGTTGATCTGGTCTTCTTTCGGAATTGCTCCCCGCCAACCTGGGGATCAGGTACTTTTCCTTTTCTTTTGCTTTGCCTGACAGTGGCAAATTCCAACGGGCGTCTATAGATTGATCATGCCTGTCATTATGCAATTACTTCGATACGCAGCGCATTACACATCCGGCCCCTTACTTTCCCTTCACCCCCATAGTAAGCGCCAGAGCTAGCCGCGACTGGAATTTTCGGCCTCGGAGTTAGCGCGGGTACATCGGTGACGTTACCATGGTATAATATTACACATCATACCGAGCTCACATGTGGCTCTCACACAGCCGCCCAGTGGCTTAGCAACCATTGTTGCATATTGCATAAAATAGTCAACTGCGTGCGCACATTTACTTAAGTATGGCTGTGCGAATCCATAAATAGTACTTACTACGTACTGATGCCGCGATGCCGATACTGTATAGTACCAGTACCATCCAGTCACCACCCTATTGGGCAGACTCAACATCGCAACCATCTGCTGGAGTTTTTACCGAAATAAGCCCCCATAATCCCTTCCCTGGAAATGCCGGATCATCGGAATAGCACATCTCCGTGTTTGCCGGGTACTCTACGTACAACTTACCCAAGTAAGTAGGGTTGTTCCTCATTGGGGTCCGAAAACGACCGGCATTAGCAGGCAGACACATTATTACACTATTAGTGCAGAATTCCGTCCGCCTAGTGTTGCGAACACGTACGAGCAGTGGAGGGATCCGGAGTGAATCTGGTCTCTGAGTGGATCACTCGTCTTTGGTTCCAGGCAGTTTTACTGGGTTTCGCTTCTCTTGGACCCTTGGCGGGTTGAAACTTGCAACGATCCGGGCCTCGGGGCTATGGGGCACCACTGGGCAGTTGATCAGATCAGATACGCAGATAGAGAGATGATGTGCCCGGTTTTAGGTAGTCTAGATATCTTGTAGATCACAGGTGGCCGAGTTAGCCTTGTCGAATGTCATTCTAGAATCCTCGGGTGTGCTGCGCCGAGATTAGTTCAGGGCGCACACCCTTCCTTGTGTATGGCGGCTGTTGTTGCTCTGCCTAGCATCGGGCGGGATGTCAGAGCTGAAGGTCGATTCCACCTTGAAGCATGATGTCAACTGTAGGCAGCAAATAATTTCTAAAATATGGCAGAAGGCTGAATAATAAGCTGGACAATCTGCAAATACCATGCTTGGTCATCCCTCGTAGAATCACGATCACGATGGAATGATCCACGGACCCAAGTGCCTTCCTTTATGTATAAAGACGCGGGGCCATAATCAACCACTATACAGTGCTTACAGCCTTACAACACCAACCCAGCAATAAGCAACCACTTACCCATCTTTATCAAACCTTATCATACCAAGATTCTCCAAACCCCTTACAACCAACGCAGTACAACCATCTCCCCAGCATACGCAAAATGCAAGGTTAACCGCACTACCATGTTGCACATCTCAAGCTTCCTACACTCAGCCTGCCCACGCGGCACCACATAATTCATTTCATTCCTCGATCGATACACATCTCAAGTATTCGCAAGGTACTCTCAAAAAGTGCCCCCCAAACTCCCAAGAACTAGTCTAGACAGATCATCATCTGACTCCAGCGACCAGCTGGTGGAAGCAAACAGATTGGTCGCCTTTAAGGTTATACTTTACGCGGTGCCTCTCGTGGTGGATAGCTCGCCTGACCGACAACTGCGGCATCAGTAAGTTAGTAGTATACTATGGAGGGGGCGAGGGAAGCATGTTTCAACTATAATCAGCACCCACTTGCGACCGTCACCGAAATTATTCTTTGACTACGATGAACACATGGATCATCCTGTAGATTCGCTCATAGTTGGGTTTGCAATCATGGTGTGCGACAATTGTAGATCCACGCCTGTAGGTGGCAGGGGGTGCCACTGCGTATTTGCTTCTGTTTTTAATAGTGCGTAGCGTTCCTTCCCTGGAATGCAGAAAAAAATGAGGGAGCTTTCTACGGTCTTTCGACTTCGAGATCATTCATCAAAGGACTCCTGACCTATAAGTACTAGTTGTCGATGTGTTGACCTTACGTCTGAAACCCCAGCAAATATTGTCGAATATATATAGTGCATCAGCTGGGCCTTACACACAAAATGAAATCCGGACTCATTCTACTATCCCCCTTATGCCTTTCTACCATCTTATACGCATCCCCAACATCTACGCCCAACCCCAACCCTCCGACAGTGTATCTCATCCGTCATGGGGAAAAACCCCCAGATCCCGGGGACAGTGGACTAAATGCCGATGGCTTCAAACGCGCCGAGTGCCTCCGGGAGGTATTCGGCGTGGGGTCACCTTATGGAATAGGCCATGTGATGGCGCCCAAGCTCAATAAGCGTAAGACATGGCGCATTTCAGGCGGTTATTCCTACTTTCAGGCCGAACAAGCTAATGTTTATGTTGGTGACTGCTCAGGAGGCCAGCATAGGCGTTCCTATGAGACCGTCCTCCCCGTCGCACAGGACCTTGGCCTCTCCGTTGATACATCCTGCAAGCGCAATCACGTTAAGTGTGTGGCGAAACGGATCAAAGAGTTCAAGGGAACAGGAAACATTCTGATCTCCTGGCGCCATGGGAAGATGAGGCAGATTGTCCAGGAGCTGGGATATGCGGACCCTCCTGAATATCCTGATGATCGGTAAGTTATTAGAGGGTTTGGTCATAGACTAGATGAATTACTAATGAATGGGTTTCCTATCTAGGTTCGATTTGATCTGGACGATTCCATTTCCTTATGACAATATCACTGAGATTCAAAGCGAAGAATGTCCGGAATTGGATGTGCCAGTGCCAGCACTACTGAAGGTGCAAGAGTAAATCATCATGGGCTGGTACCTGATGAAACCCACTGTCTATATTGTGTGGGATTTTTAATGAAGTTGATGACTTTCTGAATGGTATGGATAAATTCAAGTCTGTTGTGCATCGACTTATCGTAGCTGTATAATGATGAGTGGGTTATGAACAGACTCGTAGTTATATAGTACGTAGCTGTAATCTCATTGACCAGTTGCTCCTGCACAAGGTCAAACGTTAATCCGAACAACAGTCTGTGTGCGCGGGCGGTGAACAGCCGAGCGGAGACAGAGCGCCAAGATTTCAACCTGCCCACCCAATTTTTTCGACGTATCGCGGCCTTCACTACGTTCGACCGAGCGTTGCCCAAATTTCTCATCAACCTCAGTATATTACTGGTTCAACGGCTTGGATCCCTTGGAAGGTCTGCGGTCACTCTGTTTCTTGAAGGATGGATGATATCGAGGTGTGTTGTTCCGTGCATTGCATTATGCCCGATCACGAGGTTGACCTCCTCTATTTTTTCTTCATCAGGAACGCCTGCGAAGCCATGCTCAGGCCTTCGACGGTTTACTGTCGCTGATCCCGGCGAAATTTTATTACGGCGAAGATGGCAGTGTATGTGACTTGTCCAATCTTTCCTTGCTGCAAAATTTCCTCCTGCCCTTCCTTTTCTCCCCTCGTCTCAATTAGCGTCGCGCTTAAGACACAGCTGACCAGTGGTTCCTGAAAATAGGATCAATGGCAGCGCAAGAAGCAGACTAAGGAGCAGGCCCGTGAAGCCAAGCGGGCGAAGTTGGACCCCGATTCCGCCAAGTCAGCCAAGGATGTGATGGACGAGAATGCACGCAAGCGTAAACGTGACGAGGAAGGGAATGGGGAAGAAGACGACTCTTCTGATAACGGTGAACTCGGCTCCGAAAAGCCCAAGGAAGGATTGAAGAGAGGAGATGCCAACTCAAAGAAGCAAAAGCAGGCCGAAGACTCGGCTGATGCGGAGCGCACATCCGCCAAGTCGGCCGAAGAGGCAGAAGCGCGCAAGAAGTTGAAGGAGGAAAAGAAGGCCCAGAAGAAAGCTGCTCAGAAGGAGAAGAAGAAGGCCAAGGAAGCCGCTAGGAAGGTCAAGGTAGCCGAGCAGCCCGAAGAGACCGAAACACCTGCTGTGCAAAAATCCGAGTCGACCCCCGCCAACAAGACCAAGGAACAAAAACAAGAACAAGAGGACAGCGATAGTGATGACAGTGAAATTGCGGATGGCGTCCCCGCCGAAGGTCTCTCGCTCGAGTTCAACGCCGAACAAGAAGAACAACCATCCTCTTCTGCGTCCACCCCCAACTCCCCTGGGTTCGATGCTTCCAATCCCCAATCGGGCAGCTCTTCCATATCCTCCATTGTTCCCCCCACCGAAGCCTCCAAATCCTCCACCTCCGAACCTAAGCCTCTCAAGCCTACCCCCGATGAGCTCAAGCAACGGTTACAGAAGCGGCTCGATGAACTTCGCGCAGCCCGACATGCCGACGGGCTCAACGGAAAGCCCGCTAGAAACCGTCAAGAGCTAATCGAAGCTCGCCGCCAAAAAGCCGAGCAACGCAAAGCGCACAAGAAGGAGCTGCGCCAAAAGGCTAGAGAAGAGGAGCAACGGCTGAAGGATGAAGCCATGGTCCGCCGCTTTTCTCCTGGTGGCTCGGGATCCCTTCTCGCCTCCCCGCGCTCACCCGCTGATTCCGTCGGCTCGAACAACAACTACGCTTTTGGCCGCGTTGTCTTCGCAGATGGCCAACACGCCGACCCCACTCTTTCCGGAGTCCGGGAACAACCTAAGAGCCACGGTCCTAAAGACCCTGCCGCAGCCCTGAAGGCTGTTGAAGCGAAGAAGGCCAAGCTCGCCGCTATGGACGAGCAGAAGCGGGCTGACATTGAGGAGAAGGACCTGTGGCTTAACGCGAAGAAGCGGGCACATGGTGAACGGGTCCGTGACGACACATCATTGCTGAAGAAGGCGCTTAAGCGCAAGGAATCGGCGAAGAAGAAGTCTGAGCGCGAATGGAAGGAGCGTCTGGAAGCCGTGAAGAAGGGCAAGGACATGAAGCAGCAGAAGCGTGAAGAGAACCTCCGGAAGCGCCGAGAGGAGAAGGGCAACAAGGGAGGCGGCAAGAAGAAGCAGGCTGGAGGAGGTAAGAAGAAGTCCAGACCGGGCTTTGAGGGCAGCTTCAAGGCCAAGTCTGGAGGCAAGAAATAAGCAAACATTGTGCTGCTGTGTTGGAAGAAGAAGTGGAGACCCGTCCAAAGTGTAATACCAAGCTGCAATCTCTGATCATGTGTACATACACGCACAGAAGAATGGGGGCCGGAATATTCAAAAACAAAACAAACCAAAGGGAAAAAGGAAGAACAAAAGGGAAAACTCAGAGAGGAGCAGAAACATGCTACAGATTGAGCAAAAGAAAGCTCGAGACCAAAAAGTTGAAGGGAGTGCGGGCATTGGAGAAACGGTGTTTGGGGAGTTTAAACTCTGGAGGTTCTCTGTTCATTTTGTGCATATATACCGAATCTCACGAAGCATTTTTTGTCTTTGTTTGTTGTTTTTTATGCCAGCTGAGCTTGCACAACTATTACATTCATGTACGAATTTGATTGAGTATGCACAATGCAGTTCGCAGCACAGTAGCTAAGAGAGAGACTCTATAAAGAGACTTTAGCTAACCATGCATACCAATAGTCATCATCTTCATTAGAATTGTCTGCCAGCAAACTTTTGTCTATGTCGTAACTCAGTCCAAGTCATACCTCATAAGTCATGAACCCGAAAGAGTTACCCATCATCAATCATCATCATCACTCATCCATTATCTATCATCTATCACCACCATCTATCAATCTGTCATCATCAAAACTTTTACCCCCTTCTCCACCTCAACCTCAAACCCCTCCCCAATATATGAAAAAAATGAAAGAAAGAAATCAAGCAAACCTCTCATCCCTCGCCTCCAAACACGCATCCACCATCCCATCAACAGCCAACCCCCTCTGCACCTCCGTACAACACCCAATCTTGACCAACTCCGACAATGCCTCACCCACCCAATTCTGACAATTCCACCCGGGGAGATCATTCCGCACTTTAACCCTAGCGCACGCATCCCTGACTATCTTCCTAGAGATAGTAGAATTATCACTACTTACCGTCGTTACGACGGGGATATTCCGCTCTAGTTTCGCGCTCTGCGTGGGATTCGCCCCGGTTACCTCAACGAATTTGAATTCGCCGGGGGGCCCCGTGATGTGGAACATGCTTTGTTGGTTGTCGGGGTATGTGGTGAGGAGGAGCACGGCGTGGCGGTATTTGATGAAGTCGAGGGGGGAGCCGTGGAAGACGAGGAGGGAGAGGGTGGTGGTGGTGGTAGTCATATCGATGGGGTAGTTAGGGGATGAGGGCTGGGTTGGGCTGGGTTGGATAGGATGGGATGGTGATTCTTTCATTGTAACAGGGGCCATCTCGTGATGGAAGGGCTTATATAGCTATGCTGTTACATCGAAGTTCATGAGTCTTGTAGATGTTTGGGATATGCCGTGAGCGAATATCTTACCCATATGCAGGAGGGGATGGGGCATATAGAAGTCTAGAAGGGTCTACAGATATGCCTAATAGCTCTGGAGCGTATCACAGTATGGGCATAAGGGCTGTGTCAAGGCATTTTCCTACATTCATCTACCAGTACTGGAACGTGTCAACCTGCTACTGCACAAAGAAACTCCCAACACTAACCTTAACCTAGTCTACTAGCTCTGTTGCTTTGTTACAGACTACGGGACGGGACGTTCTCGTCGCTACCAGAGATTGAGGGAGAAGATAATGGCAGTTTCCTTTTGTTTTGTGGGAGAGATGTGTGGTAGTTCCGTGGGAGGTCTGTGGTGTAGCGACTGTCTATTCAGGTGCTTGTATGGATCGTATGCTTTCGTGGATGGTCTAGGCTCTTGTTGGAGATATGGAGGCAGAGTTGCGGTGTAGGTGTTATGTATACTGTGAAAGTATCGTGTCGGTCGAGATGGGTTTATCCACTATAGCTTATCGGAAATAGGGGTGGTTATGTTCTATGTAGCTGGGTATGGGTGGGTCTGCATGAAAGGGTAGGGTTATATCCGATGATTTCGATTGATAGGAGTAGGTAATAGCAATAGGCGGGTGATGGGTTGAGAGAAATTGCTAGCTGAGTGCCGCAGTGTTGAGGACATTGCGTGCTTGGTTGGGCTGTGAATGAGTGACGGAAGAGTATGGCAGACCAGTGTATTGCTATGTGATACCATAGCTGATAGTTGAGCATGGTTGCTGCACTGATAGGTCGTTGTTTAAGCACTATTTTAGCACATAACAAAGGAAAAATTCTTTGATTGGATCCCTAGACAAACAAGAGTAAAAAAAAACAACACAACATGCAGGATTTCCTTCAACATCAAAGACAAAACCAGACCCGGAATCGAGTGGCCGATCTGATCAATTCCGGTAGACCCGACTAGTACAGAAGGTAATCAGGGAGGCGAAGGGGGGTGGGCGTGAGATATGTACAGCGTGGGGGGTAATTGGGAGTGGCTACAAGCCAGGCTTTCTAGGTCGGAAAGACTCTTCTAATATCATGTTTTTCTCGCATCTCTTTCAAGGGGAGTGTCACATGGACACCGTGTCCGGTGTCATCATTGGCAAATACAGGTGCCGCTTAGCGGTAAGGAGCATCGGCTCTGATAGCAGCAGCAATTTCGGGCTCCCACTTGTCACCGTTGGCGAGAAGCTTCTCCTTGTTGTACAGCAGCTCTTCACGGGTCTCGGTGGCATATTCGGCGTTGGAAGCTACGCGACATTGTCAGTAAACGACTCACGTCCTACATAATTTTACTGGTTACTCACTCTCAACAATAGCGTCGACAGGGCAACTCTCCTGGCAGTAACCGCAGTAGATGCACTTGGTCATGTCGATATCGTAACGCGTCGTGCGACGGCTTCCATCCTCACGCTCCTCAGCCTCGATGGTGATAGCCTGGGCCGGGCAGATGGCCTCGCAGAGCTTGCAGGCAATGCAGCGCTCTTCACCGGTGGGGTAGCGACGCAGAGCGTGCTCGCCACGGAAACGGGGGGAGATGGGACCCTTCTCGAAGGGGTAGAAGATGGTGTAACTAAACGACCAGCGTATCAGCCGCAGATCCATTGAGACAGAACGATCCTCCCCAAGATAATGAAAAGCAATAGACAGGCTTAGAAGGTCCACGAGAAGTTCTGATGATGATATGCACCGAGGCAGACCTGACGAAGCTGGATGGGACGACTTACGGAGGTCTGAAGAACTGCTCCAGCACGACGTACATGCCGCGCAACAACTCAGCCATAAGGAAGTACTTTCCGGCCTTGTCGAGAGAAGACTCAGTGCCTTCGTCCCATCTCTTCGGAGGGGGCAGACGGAAGCCCGGTTGGGGGGGACCAGCTGGCGTAGCTGCCCGGTTCACCGAGGAAGAGAAGTTTGCGATGGATCCCAAGGGCGAAGACCGGAGAGGGAAGGCTGTAGGACGAGAGTAGGCGACGAGCCTGGCGACGGACTTGGGGGCGGCCATCGCGGAAGTCGAAGAAGCGCGCGAAAGAGCGGGGATGACGAGGGGAGAGGTCAATTGACAGAGGGGGGGGAACAGCAGCAATTCGAACCAGAAGCGGTTGGAGGTGGAAGTCGACGAAGTTCTGCTTGGGTCGCCGGCCTGCTTAGGTCATGGCTTTCTGCCGCCCCGTGATTGGCCCGCCGCCAGGATTTTGCTTCCTCCGAGCCGCAACAGAATCCAAACCCGTTCATCATCCATCGCTTCATTTCCCCCAATCTTTCCCCATTCCATCACTACCTTCTCCTCCTCATTCTCCCCCCCCACTCCACCTCTTCTTCTTATTCAGGCCCTTTTTAGCCTTTTCTTTCAGCTTCACCTTCCTGCCATCATGTTCCGCTCCGCTGTCGTCCGCTCCCTCAGGGCCTCCGTCCCTCGTGCCGTCAAGACTCCGGCTCCCTTCCAGATCCGTAGCTCTCCTGTTGCTCGTCCGGCCCAATTCGCCCCTCGCTTTGCCTACCAGGGTGTCAGACTCTACTCCGCTCCCGCCGGTCTCAACAAGGATGAGGTTGAGGGTCGGATAGTCAACCTTCTGAAGAACTTTGACAAGGTGCGTCCGGAATTGCGCGTTTTTAGCTGCTCCCTCAAGGCGAGGAATTGCAAGCTATCAAGAAATATAAAACAAGCACAGTGACTGACAGGCTGGAATTATTACAGGTCTCCGATGCTAGCAAGGTTAGTTTTGATACCCGATGACGCCTGATGTCATTGGCCGGGATTTCCCGCGGGTAAAGAATCATAGCTTAACGGTCGCGATTCAACAGATCAACGGTGCCTCTCACTTCGCGAACGACCTCGGTCTGGACAGCTTGGATACCGTTGAGGTCGTCATGGCCATTGAGGAGGTATGGATACCGCATATGCCCTGGTTTATACTTGACGTTGTATACTGATAGGGATGTCTATAGGAATTCAGCATTGAGATCCCCGACAAGGAGGCCGACTCCATCCACAGCGGTAAGTGCAGCTTTGGGATGAGATGCCCTTACAGGGTATTGCGACGCCAGAGAACATATACTGACCATCCCTTCTGCTATAGTTGACAAGGCTGTTGAGTACATCCTTGGTCAGCCCGATGGTAAGTCCAACATCCTTTTATGTGCAATTGAACATGACTTGCGGGGATTTGGTACTGACTACTCTGCTAGCTCACTAAATATGAACGTAATGCGAGGACTCGGAGTGGATTGGGGGATTTAGAATAGAAAGGAAAGGGACTTCTGGCGTGCATCTACATGGGACTTGCCATAGTGGAGGTACCCGGAGTCGGTCACGCTACTCTGTATGCTGATACATGCCTGTGCTCTTTCACTCTATTATATCGTGTATATCATCTTCAATGCAGTTTTGACTGATTTTGGCTGGTCTTTTCGTATGAAACATGTTCTCTCTTTATTATTGAGTGTTGTTGAAGAAGTAACTTCATTTGCTGGGGAATCAATGCTGAGGGAACTGATAGCGTTGAATTAAGCTTGGAATTGCACGCGGTGTTCAGGTCGGAACGAATCTGATATGCGGTTCCGTGGGATGACGTGGAGGCTACCGATTCAGGAGCAATCAACGAGAAATGTTAAGTGCAGGGCCCCAGCCAGCATAATAAAGGTGAGAAGGGCTGGGATTTCCTGCTGCAGCCTTGAAACCAATGTTAATGCGACTGAAGCAGATAGAGAAAAATAAAATAAAATAAAAATAAAACTAAAACACGCAGGGGCCTGGAACCGAGTGGGCTGGGAATAGATAGTAGAAGTAGTAAGTAGTAAGTAGTAGTAGTGACCATAAAAGAAATGGGGTCCGTCACCGGAGAAGCAACAACTACTCTAACTAACTGGAGACGCCCAGCCAAAGGAAGACCAAGCGCCAGATAGCCTTAGCGACCGCATCGACCGCATCAATCTTTATATCTCCTCCATCCAAACTTCCCTCCCCGGGTTTTATCTCCCACCACCACCACCACCACCCTTTTTTCTTGTCTTGAGTTCTCACCGGGCTGTAATTGGGGTTTCTTGTCGCTGCTCGGCTCAGTTACCCACTTCTCTGGCCGCCCGTCTCCTTCTTCCCCCATTGATTGTCGGCCTGCCTTTCCTCTTCGTCGTCGTCTTCCACCACAACCTCCCCCCCCCCC